AAATTCTTCTGCAAGGTGAAGGGATTGTGACGTCCCCGCCAACACGGACTGAACCCGGTCCTTTCAAGATGTTGACGCTCATTTCTTAAAACCCACGCATTAAAAAAAAGAAAAAGAAAACCTTCGGTGTAACGAATGGGCATTCTGGAGTGGAGTACCTGGAAGGATTATTTCTGCTGTTCTCACGGGCCCCCCCGCGCAAACACGAGGACCGGGCGGCGCCTTGTGGTCTACAGACAGTGTGACAGTGTACGGTGGCAATAATCCGTGCGCACCCTTCAGATTTGTGGCATGAGGGAGCAGCAGAGCACCTTTGTTGGTTCGGGGAATGCGACCCTGCCGCAGCGCCAGTGCCGGGTCCGGTCTGATTTTTCGTCAGCCTTTGTGGCTCCAGGGCTCATTACTGCGTTCTGCGCGGATGGCCAGCCACGGCGTTGAATGACGAAGAAGCGGTGGCTACGGAGAATTTCGCGGGAAGCACCTAGCTGCATGGAAACGTTGAGACTTGATCTGGACACCGGCTCATCAAGTACCGGAAGCATCGGGACCATTGTTCATCTGTAATTAAAGTGTCTTGGGACAGCTCGCCCATCTCTCTCTCGCTGAGGCTTGAGTTTGGACATTGTTACTTGCTCGGCCTTGTTTGGGAGAGGGTTTTCTAGAGGTGTGGGCCGCGGGGGCAGCCGCCGAAGATAATACACTCCGACTGACAAGGAAATATGCCGCGTCGATTGTGGCGATTGGTTTGGTGCCCCGGTGGGGCAGAGTCGGAACCCGAGAAAAGCGGCCACGTGTGAAGGAGGATGAGAGGTGATGAGATGATGACTGGGGCAAGGACGGTACGATGAGGAATGAAAGTTAGGGATAGGAGGCGAGTGAATGGAGTGTTACGAAAGAGGGCTAGGATAGAAATCACTGAGAGGCATGACGTAGGCGACGATGACGGAGACGATGAAGACGGTGACGAATTGGCTAATGACCCCAGGAAGAAGCCCTGAGCCCCGACTCGAACAACCAGCTCCGAGGCCCCCGTCAACATGGACCTTTCGTGAGACGGACTTTATGCACGTTATTCAGAATATTTTTGCGGAAAGGGAGGTGGCGAATCGAGACATTGCGCGGTTTTATTGAATAATGACTTTATAATTTGTGTCGTCATGTGTTTACTCTGTATTTAGGCATCCTTGTATTGTCACACTTCGCTTATGTATCCTCTTTCGCGTGTCACGAGTATTTGCTGATGTGTTACAATTTCGTGTAACAGATGTCGTTCACGGGCAGTATGTGTGTACGCCATTTGCACTTGCTATTTAATTAAATGAATCAGTAAACAGAAACAGGTAGTAGCGTCTCTCACTTTGCGACCCCAGCACGAATCCCTGTATGTGAGAAGTGATTGAGACGCATAGCCAAGAACGAACCGAAAAGACAAGGGGTTAAGTGGTCTTCCCTCTCTTTGGTAATCGGTGGCGTAGCAGGAAACGTCTCAGTGTGAAAGTGTTAGCCAGCAGAAGTTAGACACGTAAGAATTTCGTGAAGATGAGCAAGGTGTATCCGGAAGTATAATAAAAAGACTACGATATAGTGCAGGTCACCAAAGCAAATCTTCTAATTGTGGCATTTTAATATGGTATCATTCGTTCGCTCAAATGTCACAGGTGAGTTCCAGAGTCAAAATGGCTTGACATTGAACTCATATAAACCATCCGGCTTTATAAAGGCTCTTTTAGGGTGATCACATCCGGCCATTGGCACCTGCCATTATCCGGAACGCAAATTCAAGGATATATAGTTCTCGACGCCTTGTAAACAGTCAAGAGCATCCAATATTCGTGCTAGCAGGTTGACGTCTTTTTTGTGATCTTGTTTAGGTGGCAATATTAAACGCAAAATCAAATGTGGCCATCTTTTTTCTTAACCAGTACCACAAGTGATGACCAAGGGCTTTAGGAAGGGTGTATGATTCCAGTTGAAACATGTAATCTACATGCGCCCTAATGACGCGGCGCTCTCCGGCGGAACGTGGTAAGGACGCTGTCGCAAAGGCGAATGGAAGCCCGTGTCCATAGTATGACTATAATCGGGGTGTGGCCTAAAGAAAGTTGTTGAAAGTCGAAAGAAGAAAGAAACTTGCTAAGGAGAGCAACAAGTTGGCGTCAATGAGAGGGGGGGGGGTCTGCGTTAATGCCATTGTCGAAGGCTGACGAACTTGATGGCGCAGACGGAAGAGTGGTCGTGGAAATCTTCCACAATGAGGTTTCATCGGTAAGATCAAGATCATCGACAGTATCCACAGAATGCACATATTCTAATTTTTCACCATGGAATAAGCCAATGGGGTGGTTGCGGTGGTTGGTAACCAGCATTATGGTTAAACCCTGCGCAATTAAAAGAACAGCGAAAGGAAGAACGATGTCCTTGCGTTCAGTAAACACTGGAGTTGGCGTAAACACCACAATGGTGTCAGGCTGCGCAGCACATAAAAAGGGTATAGGGAGTGAAGCTTCCGGAGGCAAGTTGATATCGTCCTAAACGATTAGTTTGCAAAGACGAGGAGAACTGTCGGGTGATGAAAATTCACGTGTTGGCACAAGGAACACTTCCGAGCAGGAACAATTGATGATAGCTTCGTGATGTGACAGGAATTTCGAATCTAGCATGAGGTCATGAGAGCTAGACGGTAGAAGTAAAAATGAACCATGTACAGAACACCTAGGATGGCGACGCGCACCGTACATACAGCGGAGGAATGAATGCGTTGCGCGTTTGCCGTGGATAGCACCAGGTCACACAGAGATGTGGTCACATTCTTGGTTCTCCGACGAAATTTTTCGTTCATCAGAGAAACGGCGGCCCCAGTATCAACAAGCGCTACTGAGGAGACTCCTACAACGTAGACAACAATAACGTTTTCAGGCGAAAATAGAGGCCATGAGAATGACGCAGAAGTTGCAGTTGGTGCCTCCGGAACTGCGCTGAATAGTTTCCCTGCTCAGAAGGCGATCGATGACGCATAGGCGATGGCAATCGGCGATGCGGGGATGGTAAACGAGCACTTGATTAGCGGTAATCGGTGTCAGATTGCCTCTGTTCAGATGCAGATGTGGTAGCATGTTGCGGCGTGTATTAGTTTTGAAGGATGCGTATATAGGTGTGGGAGGGTGGGGGCAGACGCGTACAATATGGCCAGCGATGCCACACGCGAAGCCGATAGGGCAGCTGTCGTGGATGCGCCACGCATCAGATGGACGAAAAGAGCGAGGCGGCGGCCTGAAAACTGGAGGTGAGGAGGGATGAGGTGGTGCTTAAAGGAAGCCCGGATGCGGTGGGTGCCCCACGGACACAGCTAAGCTGGCGCAGGTGGCCCGTAGCGGGCAGTCTAGAGAGAATATGGCACGGAAGAACATGGGTAAGGGGCCGGAACTGCAGGGAGGGCATCACACTTTTCAATAATTGATTGATATGTGGGTCATTAGGGGAACTAACTGGATTCCTAGAGAAGGAAACTGGGTTATGGGGAGACAGAAGGTTAGGTGGGCAGATGAAATTAAGAAGTTTGCGGGTGGAAATTGGCAGCAGCAAGCACAGAACCTGGTTTACTGGCGGAACACAGGAAAGGCGTTTGTGCTGCGGTGGGTGTTGTCAGGCTGATGATTATTGTGGTGATGTAAGGTTTAACGTCCCAAAATTACTATATGATTATGAGATACGCTGTAGTGGAGGGCTCAAGAAATTTCGATCACTTGGCGTTCTTTAACGTGCACCCAAATCTGAACACACAGGCCTACCACATTTTCGCCTCCATCGGAAATGCAGCTGCCGCAGCCGGGATTCAATCCCGTAACCTGCGGGTCACAGCCAAGTACCTTAGCCACTAGACGCATCACAAATGTCGGTGCGTATGGCCTCCTGCAGTGTCGAAAGCAGGCTTGCGGTGGGCGCGTCACTATGAGGCAGCAGGGAGAGTTGTCGGCCGACTTCCTGTCTGATAAAGTCTTTAATCTGATTAGAGAGGGTCCCTTGCCAAAGGTGGCCTTTGCGCCTGTGACGGCCAATATCGTGTGATATCGTGTGGTAGGACACTGTGCCGGGCAATGAAACGCTGACAGCGCATTTTATCGAAGCTCTGGCACAGGTTTACGAAGACTGCCACAGTGGTCGAGCTTTTCGCCAACACCTGGAATACGCCATCCTCGATACCCTTGAGAATGTGTCAGGCATAGATTGGTTGACACGCCTGCAGAGGTTTAGCACATTTTTAATATAATTAGGAAACGTCACTGTAGGCTGCTGTGCTTGGTCGTGTAGACGCTGTTCAGCACGGAGCTTGCGGACCGTTGGTCAGCCGAACGCTTCGGTGAGAGCAGTTGGCGATGGCGGTTTCACGGATGGTGAACCAAAGCTTAGCGACGTCAGCCAAGTAAAAGGTAACCTAGGTGAGCTTAGAATCGTCGTCCCACTTGTTTCTGGCGCTTACGCGTACCTATAAGCAGAGCCAGTCTTCTACGTCTTGCTCACCACTGCCGCTGAAGATGGGCGGGTCCCGTTGATGGGTAGCGCAGGGGCACAGAGACGGGACAGCCGGTGGTGCTGGCTGCGCAGGGGTGGGCTGGTTGGTGACGGCGTCAGTCATGTTGTGCGGTGGTCTTTTGGCCAACTTGCGAGAGCAAAGCTGCACGTTTGCTTGGGGATCTCAGCAGCCTCTACCGAATGGGAGGAGGGTTATTGAATCAGAGCATTTGTATTGAGGTCGCAACAGAAAAGCGCCATACGTCAAGGCTGGCAAAGGAGGCACAGGTACTCGCACAATCCGAGCGCGGGGCTTCTCGTCTTCTTCCGAAGGTGCATACGCATTGGTGCATATGCTCCACTACACTTACAAAATATCTTGACCTTGAACACAGAGTCCCTAGGCAATCTGTACTGTGTGTTGGCACACCTTCTTGGCATGAACATTTTGACATAAACTGCTTTAGAAAATGAAAACAACGCTGGCTTACCCTGAATACATGCCTCACGAGGAACTGCAACTCTTCCAATAGTAGTCGTTGGCCACGTCAGGGTCTCTTCCAGCTTCGTTTTGTCTTCAAAGCACATCTCTGCGAGGAAGCAGGCAAAGTTTAAAATACACTTCCGCGTACCTGCCTTGTTTTTTGTACTTCAAGGTACTGATAAATATTACGACAATTAAAACAGCATGATAAGCCAATATTGAATTGTCAGTGTGAAAGAGTGAGAATTTATTAGAAGGCAGAGAGGTCGGCCTGAGCTTGTTTGCTCTAGCCTGCTACTCTACACGGGAGATTAGGAAAAGGGAAGGAAAGAGGGATTAAGGGTGATGATGGGGACAAGAAGAGGTAGTGCGTATGTACAGTAGCCACTTATCATAGTACCCTACAGTCTAGTTTCTAGTCCAGTGCTTTTTATAAAGTCTAGAACAGCCTTTGTTTAATTGCTGACAATATCTGGCTTTCACTTAAAGGTGTTCGACCTATGCTTGCCAACGTTGCAGTTAGTAATTTTCTTTGCGCCACGAATAATGCACAGTCACAAAATATGTGAGCTTTCGTTTCGCGCACTTGGCAGCGTTCAGAATTCGGGCTGTCCGCACGGCCGATTAGGTGGGTGTAGTGGCGAGTGAAGGCGACGCCCAGGTGAATTCGGTGCAGGATATTAGCATGTCTTCGGCTTATTTTGTCTGGAAGACGAAAAGTCATACCGGGGTCTGTTTCACGCAGGCGCTTGTTCCGGTGATCTGGTAGCGACCAATAGGTGGCAGCGAATTTGCGCATGAGTGATCTCAACAATGTGTTGACGTCACTTTGCGAATACGGTACTTTGACGTACATAAGAGCGTTGTATATTGCCGCTCTTGCTTTGCTATCGGCTGTTTCGTTGCCAACCAGGCCGCAGTGTCAAGGAATCCATTGGAGTGTAATCAAGTGACCGCTGCTGTCTGTTAGGTCAAATGCTTGGATGATTGCTAATGCTAACTCGTAAAATTGGCCTCTTCTTGAGCAAGAATGGATAGCTTGAAGCGCTGATTTTGAATCAGAAAGAATTGTCCATTTACGTGGTGCTTGGTCGTTCGCAAAATATATGGCTTCTTGTATAGCAACAAGTTCTGCAGCTGTCGAAGATGACCTATGATCTAATTTGTACTTTCGGGAAACACCGAGTTGAAGGACAACGAAGGCTGCAGCTGAGGCGGATGAAGTTATGGATCCATCGGTGTAAATGTGCATAGAGTCGCTGTATTGGTCATCTAAATGTGTCAAGGTGAGTTGCTTGAGGGCAATATAAGAAACACGCGACTTATACAAAATTCCACGTATGTGAAGGCACACCAGCGGTTTAGTCAATGTCCTTGGAGGCACTGCAGGGATTACGGAGGGTGCAAAGCCGGAAGGGATCATGTGCCTATGCGTATCGAGGCATCGCGAATAGGTACAGCCTGGTCGGTCCACTTGTAGCGAAGACAACGGGTGCTGTGCATGTCGGGTCAGCAGACAAAGGTGCACTCGAAGAGGCTCACAGGACGTGTAAACCTGTATAGGGTAGGTGTGGGACTCCTCTATAGTGCCAGAGTTTGACGTGCACCGTGGCAGGCCAAGGAATATTCTCAGTGCTCGTGCCTGAAGGCTCTCTAAATTACGAAGGCACGTTACCCGCATGCTGGAAAGCACAGGTGAGCTCTACCTTATACAGCCCACAAACAATGCCTTGTATAACTGCAGAAGACTTCTCTGAACAGCCCCATCTCAGTCCTGCTAAAACACGAAGAACATACACAAAACTGATTAGTTTGTTTTGCAGCACAGTCACATGCTTTGATCAGGACAGGCTGCGATCAATGACGACCCCTAAATAGCGGTGGTGCTTGACCGCGGGAATCACAGCTCCGTAAGCGAAGATTGGGTACCACGACATTGATTTCTTCGTAAATGCCAATGCAGCACATTTTGCTATTGAAAGTTCCAGGCCCTGAAGACGTAAGTACTTAGATGTTATTGATGTGCCTTGTTGTAGCCTTGCTCGCAGTTGCGGTCGCGTTGCTCCAGATGCCCATATGCATATGTCGTCCGCATACGCACTGTTTCTGACCACGTCGGGAAGCTCAGCTTCAAGGCCAATGAGTGCTATATTAAAAAGCATGGTTTTCAGGACAGCGCCTTGCGGTACTCCACGGCTTACGAGGTGCCTGGCTGTGTCACCGTCAGATGTCGGCATAAAAATGGCACGTCCTCTGAGATAGCTCACTATCCATGTGTGTAGTCAGCCACCTACGCCGATGTCTTCAAGTGCGTCAAGAATGGCCTCATGGTAGACGCTATCCTATGGGCCCTTTATATCTAAGAAAATGGCCCCTACCCATCTCCGACGTTGTCTTTCCTTTTCAACAGAAGAAACTAGAGCTACAACACCGTCATTACAGAAGCCATTTACAAAATCTGGTAAGCCGACATTATTCTCCAGCAGCCATTCCAATCTCGCCAGCACCATGCGCTCCATCACCTTACCGATGCAACTGGCTAGGGCAATGGGTCAATAAGAAGACAACTCGTGTGAACACTTGCCTGGTTTCAGTAAGGCCACTATGCGGCTGCACTTCCGACTCTCTGGGACTGTCGCTGTTTCCCACGTAGAGTTGTACAACGACAAGAGAGCCTGCCTTGCTTCTTGGCTGAGGTGATACAGAGCCGAATAAGTGATTCCGTCAGGCCCTGGCGCGGACGACCGTCGGGACGCAAAAATCGCAGCGTCGAGTTCGTGCATTGTGAATGGTAAGTTGAGGCGATCGTCGCTGGATGGCGGTGAGGATAAACACGAAGGCGATATCGATGAGGAGGACATACCTACGAGTAAGTGGCAGTAATCTTCTGCAACCTCTACTTTAGGTCGACCTTGCTTTAGAGTCAAAGATCGAAAAGTAAACAACTGTTGAGTGGGCGCCTGAAGGCTTCGGACAGTTTCCCATATTCGAGACAGGGGTTTTGTGGGATCAAGAGAGCCACAAAATACCGTCCACCGTTGCCTATTGAGCTTATCGAGGTGTCACAATACATGTCGTTGTGCTTGACGTGCTGTAGATAGGTCAGATGGTGATTTCGTCCTCCTGTATTTCCTCTCTGCCCGGCAACGAATTGCACGAAGGTATTCATATTGTGCGTCAAGTTGTGATCTTGGTAGCGACACATTCACAAGTTACGTATGCGTTGTTAAGGCTGATGCAATAAGGTTTTCTATTTCAGATATAGATTGAATGTTCCCGCACTGAGCCTATACAGAAGCTTGGAATCCTGGCCAGTCTACGCTTTTCACAGGCAGGGGAGTCAAACGACAGTGTCAGTGTCGACTTGTCAGTGTTTGAACTATTACCATGGCATTCTGAGGAAGTGTTACAGAAACGTTGGTATCTAAAAAAACGGTAGCTCCTGCCACAAAGCACTGTCCGTTCTTTAGTTCGCTTGAAAAATCCACATTTCGCTGATTGCATAGAAAACAAGCGGTAAAGTAGACCGAGTAAGTAAAATAAAACACACCATTTACTTCATTATTTGCGCCTAATCTAGCCTATTTTAGAGCTATGGTAGACATTTTACGAGATGTACGGTAGAATACCTGCTATGTATGAATATTAAGCACGAAGTTAGGCATATAAAATATCTCAGTGCTATTTTTCTTCCACTTTGATTGGAGGAAAGCAGTGGTCCGCAGTGTGCTTTAGCCATAGCATCTATAAAATTTCGCCAACTGTGAACATTGGGAAATAAGAATGACCGAGACACGAGAAGGAATATTCATTGCAGCTCTAGTGTTAGTATACAGAAAAAAAGACATTAAAGTTGGCTGCCATACGCGAATTTTTAAGCTGTAACATTGATTTCAACAGTCATGAGCTCCATGTAATAAGCAGGCCTTGTTAAGAGAGCACCACTGCGTTTTTTTTTACTGTCACGAATTATATGTAAGCAATATATTTTATAGCAATGTATGCAGAGTACTTGAGATATGAAAAAAAAGAGACATGTTTATTGCCTAATTCTTCTGAAGCCTTGCCCTGTATCGTAAAAAAATAAGGCTAACCACTGCAAAATTTCAAATATAAACCAAGTAAGGATTTATTATGTCACTGCTAGTTCTGCTGTGGATTCTTACCTGTGCTCTTAATTTTCAGTTTGTGGGGAAGGACTCGTGGAGAAGTGATCAGTGAGGAAGTGCTGTTTATTACGGCTGATCTAAGAGATCGAATTATGTCCATTTCTTCCTCCTGTTTTGTCATTCTTGACAGCTGTTCGAGTTGCCTGAAGAACACAAAAAACCTCACGGCGTCGTCAGTAGCTCTGAAAAACACAAGAAAAGTAGAAAATAAGCCTAACCTAATTTTAGTTATTGAAACTTCTTTGCTTTACTTGTTGAATGCGTAGACGTTCTAGTTAAGGTGCAGCCTTACAATAAAGATATACAAAGAAATAAACTAAAGAGAAGGTGAGAACATTCAATAGTGTGTACCCTTTTAAAGTTGTTGTAAAGCAGGGTTTGCAAACACAGGGCCCGCTTTGGCTTGTGCAAGATTGACTAATAAGTCATCCTGCACAAGTCATTTTATAACTTGTAAGTTAGAAGTCCCATATAAGGGCGTCCCAAACTCAGCACGGTATAAAAAAACGAGAAACGGGGAAACGGCGTTACACGAGCAAAGCTAATGCATATTTTTTTCCTGTAAGCCGAAGTAGACGCTAATAACTGTTTCGTTCATTATCAACAAATTTTTGTCATAGTTGTAAGGGTAACCCAAAATTACTCGCCTAATTATTAAAATACCAATGAGGCAGATGTACAAAGCTGAAATTACATCTGTATATGTTACTTCCAACAACGTATTCATTGCGTGCTTATTCTTTTTCTGTGAATAAAGAAAGCATGCAAATTATATAAAAAAAGAAATTGCAACCGTGATGACACGGGGCATTAGAAAGCAGTTCCCTCAAATAGTATTACTAGAAGCTTCCGCTTCTTTTATTTTCCGTTGCCTGAGACAGCGTTTCGCACATTGGCAAAGATTCATGTCGAGCAACAACAGCATGCGCCACAGTTTTCCAGGGATTTCCGCCCAATGGTACGCCGCTATTGCCATTCATTTCCCACGATCAACTGTTTTCATTTATAACGCGGCCAGATCTCTGTTTTGACTGAATACAGTCGGGCTGTGTGAAGAAGCCGGTGCGTTTCTTCAGATGGGATATAACACAATCTGCATTTTTCTTTCTTTCTAATTATTTTTCAGTGCTACTAGCAATCTCAAAGCGAGTTTATTTGAAGCCGGCCTTTTCTGATGCACGCAGCTGTGTAGTCGCGTGTTATTTTTCTCAATTCGCGAGCTTTCTTTACTATAGAGAAAAAAACATGAGCCCTTAGTTAGTACGTTGTTGAAAGTAGCAGAGACAGAGGGCGTTTCAATAGATGCACATCTGCTTCATTGACATTTTGATAGTTGGGCGAGTACTTTTTGAGTTACGAATATGATTATGACTCAATAACTATTTATCGCTAAGAAAACTAGTAGTAGCTACTACAGTACACTGGGAAGTTTTGGTTCGCGTAACGCAGTTCCTGTTTGTTTCCAAAATTGGGCTGTATGGTAAGTGGGATGCCCGATACATGTAGTGAATGCTTCTCTAACAAGTATTTTCGTGAGTTATGCCTATGTGACTGGTCCGAAGCATTTTTTTCGTGACACACCCCATGCGGTCTCCATGCATTGTAAACAAAATTGTACAAGGTACAGAATGTATGCTGATTGCGAATAAAAAGCTTATAATGAAATGTATATAATAATTTACTTTTGTTTTAACATTTTTCAGCTTTCATTGGATATCGCCTTATATCAGCCTTCATAGGATATCAGCCTTATAGAAAATACAAAAGAAATGAATTTCAACACAACGCAAGAGACCTAGAGCGGGAAGATCAGTGGTTATTGTTGTACTGAATGAATTCATCACGCGATAAAGGTTTACCATGCCCAGGCAGCGCATTCCATATTTCTATGATGTGGACAAAACACTGCAATTACAGGAGTTTGTTCGGTGATTAAAAGGAGCATGTTCAACTCATGATGCTGTCTAGTGAAAGTTAGTTCAGCAGGTGTTATGTAGTCGCAGAGTGAAGGAAATTGTGGACTGTGACTGGGAGTGTAAATTATCTTCAATGATGCGAGGTGACGACAAATAGAGAGAGTAGTAAGCTCAAGGCTATGAAGATGAGAACTAGGTGAAAAATACCTGTCACAGCGACGATTTATGAAGCGTACTTCTTTCTTTTGGACGCATTCGTTTTTTTTGTCAGAAATTTTGTAGGATTCCATATGACAGAGCCACACTCGAGTATTGGGCGAACTTAGGTTTTCTGAGTAAGGAGCCTTGTATTAGTTTGGGCCAAACGTAGCGTACGTGGCAGGTACCTCAGTTTTCTAGGGGTACGGTTACACATTACTTCAATGTTATGTGACCAAGTCAGATTCTTAGAAAATAAAATGCCTAAGTATTTGCATCCAGACACAATTTTCCAGAAGTGAACCTACAAAACTAATAGGCAAAAGAAAAGAAAAATTAGCGTTTTGTAAATGACATGAAGAAAGTTTTGCGGAAGGTAATTTGAATCTTCCAAGCTTAACACCTTCATTCGACTTATGCAGATGGATCAATAAAATTATTTCATCATTGGTGGTTTTCGTCATATGGTAAAAGACGCACTCGTGCTCGTACATGCGAATTTTAACGGGAATTTTATGTGGTAGATTTTTATGTATATTAGGAAAAGTACAGCGACTAGAATGGAGCATTGAGGCACGCAAGCCGTAACACTAGAAATAGTTGATCGACCTGAAAAGAACTAAATTGTACGTACTGAAACCGGTTTCAAAAAAATTCAATTAACTAATGCTTGAAGGTTGAGGGTGACAGAGTGCTTTTCTAATCGTTTACAGTGTGGTACAGTATCAAATTATTTTGAAAAAACAATGAAGATCGCAATATTTGGTCACCAGCATTGAGAGCTGCAGTGATATTTTAAATGAATAACTGAGTTGGTTTGTGACCACGTCGAAAACCATGGCAAGCATCGCATAAAATTGTATTTGACTCCAGAAATTCTATGATGCCTGTTTCTGTTATGTGTTCAATATTTTTGCACGAGTGAGATGTAAGAGAAATAGGTCTATACTTATTAAAGACTAATTGTTTCACAATTTAAAGACAGGAAGAGTTTTAGCGGACTTCTATGTTTTAGAGACCTTTGAGGTTTGAAGAGATTTCTGGAAAACGACAGTTAAATGGTGACAAGTTCATGATGAATATCTTGTGAGGAATGCAATGTCTATTTTCTCCACACTATTAAAATCCAAACTTAAAATCAAGCTCAATACTCCCTAACTTCAGGAAAATATTAATAATTAAATTTTGAGACTGTTTTAACAAAGAGGAACGATGAGGTTGTCATAAGAGAAAACAGATATGAAATAAGTGTTAAAAACGAATTTCCTCCTTCATAGAAATAAATTGAGTCGTACGAACGGCTTTCTCGGCACGTTTAACACACCACAAACGTCCGAGTCGTCGCGATAGATGCAATCTTTCTCGATTCATCTAAGACAGCTCTGAATTAGTCATCTTCGTTTCCAGTGGAACGAAATGTGCATGACACGTTTTAACAAGGTCCCGGAAAAATTCCTTTTTAGCATCAACATCATCAAGGCAGCTGATCATTTCACACTGGCTAAATGCAGTGCTAAGTGTATTTATAACGGAAACATGATCCGCAGGTTAATGTCAAAAAAATTATTATATAGACATTTTGATTTAGGAAGAGGATAAGAAATAGATGCAAATACTGCCGTATGGTATGATATCCTGTCCACTACAGTGCGCTCATACCCGAGGACTGAAAAAGATTAAATCCATAATCGCCGTACCTTTTAAAGCATCTCAGACTGTTTGTTTATGACCGTAAATCAATGAAAAGTGCAATGCTTCTCTCTTCACTTTAAAGTCACCATTCTTCGATGCCAGCGAAGGCCATTGTATATCTCGAACGTTGAAACAACCTGGCATAATATGTTTGGAGCGTGAGGTGCGATTTTTTAAATGAGTTAATGAGGGAAATGAGTGAATCAGGGAAATAAAAGGGTCCACAATGTGGTCAGGTGGGTGGTAGAAGACGCCAACAACAAGAGTAATGCCTGAACCAACACGGGCAGAGAAAATGGCATTTATCTCCTAATTAAGTACAAAAAAGGTAATCCATCATCTCGGAGTAGTTACCGTCCGATCTCACTCACCAGCATACCATGTAAATTAATAGAACATGTTCTTTATTCTCACGTAACAATAATAGTAATACCCCAAAACTTTTTCCACCCCAATCAACATGGCTTCCTATAGGTACTCTCGTGCGACACTCAGTTAGCCTTATTTATTAACAACGCCAGTACCAGCCTGGATAAAAATGTTCCTGTAGATTCACTATTTCTTGCTTTTGAGAAGGCATTTGACAAAGTTCCATAAAACAGATTATTTCTGAAGCTATCTTGTCTAAACCTTCATCACGCTGTATTTACTTCGTTACCAAATTTCTTAAGTAACCGTAAGCAGTTTGTATTCGCAAACTCGCACTCTTCTAGTTCATCTCCAGTTCTCTCAGGAGTGCCTCAAGAAACAGTTTTAGGGCCCTTACTATATCTAGTTTACATTATTGACTTGCCAAATATTATTCCATCTAACATACGTCTATTTGTTGATTATTACGTCTTCTATCGTTCCATATACACTTGTAACGAGAATTTAATTCTCTAGCTTGATCATATTATTATTATGAATTGGTGTGATACAAGGCTAGAGTCTCTTTATGTCTCTAAAACCTCATTACTGTCTTTCCACCGCATCGCTACGTAATTGGCAGTTCTAACGGTTCATCTGTTCAATCCTATAAATATCTCGGTCTTTCCTTATTCAAGGATCTGACTTGGTCAAATCACAATTCGAACGTGACCAACGATGCTAATCGCGTTCTTGGGTATCTGCGCCGTAATTCAAGTTTCTGTTCTTCACCCGTCAAACTGCTCGCCTATCAAACATTTGTCTGACCTAAAGCTGAGTACGCATGTGCGATCTGAAATCCCCGTCTCTCTAACTAATCTAATACACTTGAATCTGTGCAAAAACGTGCGGAAAGGTTTATTTATTCGACCTACTCTTACCACACAAGCGTCAATAAACTAAAAAGCCAAGCTAATCTTCCTCTACTCGTAACAAGGCGTAAAGTTAAGCGGCTGTGCTTCTTTCAT